ATATATATATATATATATATATATATACCGTATATATACCGTATATATACCGTATATATAATGATAATAGTGTATAGGCCTATATAGATTATATTATATAGATTTATATGTGTTTATAAGCTATGATAAACAAATCCGATGTAAGCATCAAGGTAAATTAGCCTTCTGCCGCTGAGTTTATTTAGGAAATTATGGTGAACCGGTGCGTAAGCAATGTGATTGTTATGTGTTTTGAGCCTTGGGTGATTTCACACGATACCTTACCTTTTCCTGACTACCACTTACCATTCACAAATTATGTAATAACAATTTAATAAAAACAAATTAATAAGGAAAGTAATCAACATTGAAATTCCATTTAAATAACAACAATGTTTTAATTTCTTTTAAATAACGAAATAACGGTTTTTGAAAATCAAACGGCGCTTATGGAGATAGACCTAACCCAAACCATAAGTAAAACTTGAAATATACAATTATGTTTGTTATATTGATATGTGAAAAATAGATTCTGAATTAATACTTAGGCCTATTACTTGGTACAAAAATAAATTTCTCAGTATTATCAGATTAGAAATACATCCATTACATGAGCCTCCATACATTATAAGATGCATCATCGAAAGGATAGGATCTTATGAATGCAGGCTCATAAAGAAAACAATGTTTTCCTATTCCTAATTGCAACGAAATCGAAATACTCATTGCTGTATTTAAGATATCAATATCGTTGACAGTTTCGTGTCTTTTAGTTTTACAGTTTCTAGTCTGCTCTTTTCCCATTAGCTGGTGGTACTATTAGATTATGGCTATACGGTAGTCGTGGCAGCGAGGTCCGCGGTAGCAAATTCGATTTCTAGCCCATAGTTCGCACTTCGGATTCCGATCCCCAAGGAACAACAGAAAGGCGATACTAGCTAATAACTGCGAGCTTGAAGGAAAGTAGAGGATGAATCAGTAATTCAAAAAAGAAATCACTCTAATAATCCAAACAAATTAATGGATGGATAGACAATCATAGATGCGGCTGTAATTTTAAGATGATTTTCATTATACTAAGAACATAGACCTATATCATTATAAGCATACTTAACATAGGCTTCACACATCATAGCACTTGAACTTATTATTATTACTTATTATTTACTTTCTGTGGTGAAATCTGGAATAAATAAAATCATTTAAATTATTTAATTTATTCTCTAAAATATAAACTATAAATTATACACAGACCGAAACATTTCAGTTTTAGCTGATTTAATTTTTTTTAACTAAAAAATTAATTAAATTTGATTACCGGTATTATATTTATTTATTTATTGAACATATTATTTATACAGGATAACATATCAGAAGGATGTAACAGCCTGTTTTACATATGGTCCTGTTTTGCGATACAAGCTTAGAGTACTGTATATAAAATATCAAGAAGTTTCATTAATAAAATTGATGACTTAATTACAGATATTATGATAAAAAGCTTAATCTAAAACAAATACAGAAAACATTGTATTTATTTATAATACATAGACAAATTTAAAATCACTAGGTAAGTTAATAAAATTAATAATAAATGCCTTAATCAATTATTAAAATGGTAAAATACAGACTAAAAGGCTATTTATATTTTTAAAGAAATGAAATAACACAGTCAAAGCATTGATGGAATATAGTGTACAGGTGTAAGAGTAGTAAGTAAAATTAAGAGTATTTAAAAAGCCATAGCTTAATTTAGATTGAATTTATTATAAACGGTATCAATTTAAGTGTTATTAATTGGTGAGAAAATACTTTCCCGTTCGAATATATTTCAAACTAATAATATTGAATTAAATTTCTTTATAGCTCATATAGTTTTATATATATTATATACACCTATCATTATTCTCAAAGTTTTATAAAATTACTGTTTATTTTCTTTAAAATAATGTCTATGTCTGCATTTTTCGCTTTACATTATACTTTGTATACGTAGACACATAATGCTTACATGAAAGTTCGCTATATGAGCCTTACAGATAAACAAACTATTTTTTCTTTTTTATTTCAAAATAATATCTAAGAATTCGTCCATCTAAATAATACGTTAATATAGGCCTATTCATTGAAATTCTTTTGCAAAATCTATACCCGTATTGTATACGGTACTGATTTACTCATGAATTATTGAAATGATATTTAACAGATAGGCCTAATATACAATAAAATACCTAACGAGTTCATTTGTTGAATTACTGCTATTTCTTTTAAAAAAAAACTATAGGCTTACAATTGACATAAATAAAGTTAACTTCCTCTTTATAACATTAAGTTTTCACATGATAACTTCTATATACTATTTTCATGATCATAAGAATAGAAACATAAATATTACGATAGTGTAAGTTTCAGTAGACGTATAGATCAAACACGATGAAGATTAACAGTTGAGACGCTAAGCCGATCAATCATCTACACGGATAAAAGAAGTTTTTACTACCCAATTCGTACCAATTTGTCAAATCAGTTTCGTTATGTAGGTTTACAATAACTGTCGTGTTAGTGGGCAACGAGCCATAACCACCTTGTCGTTAACGGTTCTACAATAACGCCTTTCATCGAATAACAATTACAACGATTGCTTCAAGTTTTGGCCAATTAATTACTATATAAAGAAAGTTTTGAAATGCACTATGACACTGACATAATTAGTTTGAAAATATATCAGTTTTAATACGACAAGAAGCTATGAAATACACCTGTATCAGTAGTGAAACGTCTACGAATTCAAAACAGAATTACATGTAAGTACGATTTTATCTGAATATTCAAAACTTTCCCAGATTCATCTGTTAAATATCTACGGTACGGTACCGTATAGTAATAACTATGTGTGCAATCCTTATTCTGTTTCCCATGCTCTCAATAAGCTGTACATAAAAAAACCAGAATAAGGATATGTATATATACATATACAAGCATA